ATGGGTACCACTCTTGCCAAACTTGGAGGGCCCAACTATCTCCCTTATAATTGTCTTCTCAGTACCGCAGCTTCTCCTTTTACCAGAGGCCAACTTGGAAATATCATTTGAGATGTCTTTGGAATATCTTATTAATTATATTATAGCTTGATGTTCCTTATAAAGATCCTCATGGTGGATTCCTCCCAGAGCATCGGGAAGGCAGGAAACCAAAGAGCACAGGCCAGAGTCAGACTGCCTGGGCCCCTGCCCAGTTTCACAACTCACTGACAGTATAAACTTGGTGGTCACTTAGCCTCCCCAAGCCTCAGTTTCCTCATCCCTAAAATGGGAAGAGTAATAGTATCTACCTCCTAAGGTTTTGGGGAAGGTTAAATTAGGAATGACATTTGTAAAGAGCCATTAGGACTTAACATACTTCTTGTTACATAGGAAACACTCAATCCATTCATTATTAACATAGTGTTTTCTTCAACACTTGGTTGTTTTCCTCTTTGTGTTGATTGTCAAGTATCTCAGAGCTTTTTTTTTTAAGCACTCTTTGGTTAAGTTTTGCTTACTCTTTTAATTTTATTTAATGAAATTAAACTACTGTGTTCAGTTTTATTATATTCGGTGCTTTTATTTTAAGCTACCTCTGCCTTTTTGGAGCTAGGTAACCAAATAGATAGATGTATATAAACCTAGACACACACAAAGGCTTCCCAAGAGGACCCCACTAAAACTCAATTTCACTTCTTAGCGCCGGCTTTGGAACCCTATATCCTAGTGAGGTTTCAGAGCCACTAACAGCAGGGTGAAATGCCACTGAGAAACCTTTTAGAATTACTTTCCTCCCAATGGTGTTCTTCACTCAGGCCTGTGGTTTTGGTTTCAGGANAATCTGAAATGCTCCAAAATCTGAAATTTTTTGAACACTAACACGAAGAGCAAAGGAAATGGTCACTGGAACATTTAGAATTCTGGATTTTCAAATTAAGGTTGTTCAACCCGTATGTATTCTGCAAATATTCCAACATCTGAAAAAAATCTGAAATACAAAATAATTCTGGTCCCAAGCACTTCAGATAAGGGAAACTCAGACTGTAGTACTAATTCCCCCATTTTACAGAGGAATAAGGAAATTGGGGTGCAGAGGACTGGAGCCTCTTGCCCATGATCACAAGGGCTGTAACTGGCAGAGAAAAGATTTAAGCCCAGCCAGCCTGACTCAGAAACATGGGTACCACTCTTGCCAAACTTGGAGGGCCCAACTATCTCCCTTATAATTGTCTTCTCA